GAATTAATATGAGAAAATGAAAAAATGGAAACAAAGTCTTTGTAAATAGGGAGGGATGGAGGGGTTGAAGGGAGGGCAGGGGAAGGGAGAAAAGTAACCAAGAGAGATTATGTAAAGGTGCAAATTTCCAATGATAAATGTCATTATATTGTATACCTAAAATGTACTAATAAAATAAAATAAAATAAAAAGTCAATCTGTAAGCCAGGTGTGGTGATGCAGGCCTCTGGGAGGCTGAGCCAGGAGGATGGTAAGTTTGAGCCTAACCCAGGCAACTCAGTGACTTAGTAAGACCCTGTCTCAAAAAATAAAAGGGGTGGGAACATAGCTCAGTGAAAAGGCCCTGTATTCAATCTTCAGTATGGCCAAAAAAAAATTGGGTTTGTTGTTGCCAGAGTGAATTTGTTTGTCTTTCTCTGGCTTTCTTTCCTACCAGCTCTCTTGCCATGTTATGATGCACCCAGAAGGCCCTTAGCAGATGCAGCCCCTTGGTCTTGGATTGCTTAGCCTCCAGGACCAAGAACCAAATCAACTTCTGTTGTTTATAAACTGTTTATGGCAGTGGTGATGAACCTATGGGATGTGAGCCAAGTCACCCCAAGAGCTGAGCATCTGATAACAGTTGTTTTTCTCTAAACTAAAACCTCAGTATTCAGGTTTAATTACAGTGCTGGCACTTTGCAATAAGTGTTTTGGGTTGCAGTTTGGGCATTTGGTCTCTAAAATGTTTGCCATTGTTGGTCTATGGTATTCTAGCAAAAAATGGACTAAATTGATCTATATCTGATTCTTAAATCTTTATTTTTCTAGGAATATTTCTAAAAACAATGTAGAGTTTTGTATGCGTATTTGACCACTGAACTTTTGTCATTTTCCTTATAAATAAAAATCAATTCCAAGGGCTGGGGATTTAGCTCAGTGGGGCCACCGCCTGCCTCACAAGCGCAAAGTCCCAAGTTTAATCCCCAGTACAAAAAAAAAAAGATTTCAAAAATCAATCCCAAATCCTCCATTTGTAAAGTTCCAATACTCACAACTGCCAAAGGTTATTGAAAGACTTTGTTTAGTGGCCAGAGCTCCATTCTCAGTGACTTTATGTCCTGTACCACACATGTAGGAAAGACACTTTGTCACATGACAGAGTATTCTAGTTGCTATTGCTGCAAACAAAATACCCCAGTGCATGGCCAAAAGAAACAAACACACAAACATTACATACCCAAAAGTTCTATAGGAGATTTGGATTGGGCTAATCTTCAGCTCCACTTGATGTCAACTGAGGATACTAGTGATTTTCAATTTAGCTGGCAGCTGAGTTGGTCTAGAGGGTCCATTGTGGCCACAGTCACTCTCTTGTTGGAGAAGGCCAGAGGGCTGGGGCCACTTCTGCATTCCACGATGATAGGACTTTTTACATGGGAGCTGTATCACATAGGAGAACCAGGTAGAAGTTGCATGGGCCCTGTGCCTCAGAAGTCATCCTGGGCCATTTTGTCACAATTTCTTGGTTGCAGGGAGATTGTAAAGCCAACCCAAATCAAAGGGAAGGGTATTAGAATCCACTCCTTATTCTTCTTTCTCCCCCCCCCTCCTTTTTTTTAGAGAATCTACTTCTTGATAGAGAAGAGATAAGGCCACACTGGAGAAGAACATGAGGGATATGAGATAAGGATGTGGGGTTGTGGACAGCTTCGGAAAGCACAATCTACCCTAGGGTCACACCCCACACACATGTAAGGTACTAGTTGGGGATCACCAGAGTGTGACAAAGGGCTAAAACAACAAAATAAACCCTTGGGTAAAATAAATGATTACTTTTTGTAGCATGGTACATTGCTTCTCTACCCTTAAGCTGTTCTCAGTAGACTCATTTATGGACCCTGATAAAACCATAGAAGCAGTATATTTATACAAGATGAGGGAATTGTTACTGAAGAAAAAGCTAAATAAACACTTTGGCTTCATTTGCTCTTAGTAGACTTAAAGATTACTAATTTTGGAGGTCACATTAATGGGTAGTATGTTTTTAGTTTCCTACTAGCTTTGCTGTAGATGATACCTTTGATATATGGGTTATAATTATTGTCTAGGTTACTTTTTAGGGGCCTGAATGTTACTTCTGCTGAATACACTTACACTCCACTTGAGTCTGCAGAAATCCGATGGGTGACTAAAGTCGGATAACAGCTTGGCATTTCTGTCTTTGTGTCTGCTCCCTTTGCTAGCTTAACTTTTAGGTGAGATTCTTATCATTTATGCATGTTGATCAGTTAAAAATGTTTTGTGCATACCCAGATGTAGTGGCACACACCTGTAATTTTAGCACTCTGGGAGGTTAAGGCAGGAGGATTATAAGTTTAAACCTAGCCTTTGCAACTTAGTGAGACACTGTCTGAAAAGATAAACAGGGCTTGGGATGTAGCTCAATGGTGAAGTGCCCTCGGGTTTGACTCCCCGTACTACACACACATAAAAATGTTTTGTTCAAGACTGTAATAAAGAGTTAATTTGATTGTAAATTCAAATCTGATTCCAGAATTGGATGAGGCTTTGAAGGTCCTGGAATGGGGTGGCAAATTTTTTTGTGAAAAATACAGATGTTTTGAGGATCAAAGGACCAATTGTGGGAGATTCCAAAAATGGACATTTTACTCTGCACTTTCTCAAAGAAAGAGTTGGATCTACTGAATCTGGACTGGCCAGATAATGTGCTTCAACCTACAAAAATAAAAGCAATCATGTGCAATTCCTGAGTTTAGGGTTCAAAAGCATATTTTCATTCCCATGAATGAACCCAACCGTCTCCTAGTAGAAGGTCCTTAAAGTAAAAGGGCTCAGGGGAAAGAATGAATCCAGCGCCCTATCAGGAAAATATGGTCTCAGAGTAAAAGTGAAGTCAAAGGTGGGGTCATAGAGCTTCTGAATTAAGATTCAGATTTAACCTGGTAAAGGCCTTCTATGATGTACATCTCGGATCTTCCTCATTAAATAGACCTTCTAAGGATTTTAAACACATTATCTTACAGCATGCTCTAAGGATCCTCAAACAGGGAAGAGCCTGTTTTAAAAAGATTCAGGGTGGGTCCTGAATTGGATCCCTGGTACAAAAAGAAAAACAAAAACAACATTCAGGCTGTGAATTTTGTCAAATGGTGTAACATCAATACAATTCACAGAAACCCCACAGTTATTAGAATTATATTAGCAGATAGGACATCCATTTAGACTAAAAGACTCATGGATAGTATAAATGAAAAGAGACTTTTGAACCTCTGAACGTGCATAGGAAGGCTATAGGCTAATGAAACCACTGAGTTACAAACACAGGCTAGTTGTTATGGAAAAGGAAGAATGACTCAAAGGATGGGATCAGGAGTCCACAAGGCAGACTCAAAGCCACAGAAAATCCATCCAGGGAGCAATAACAGTCCAATTCAGTCTCTAGTGACATGTTAAATTGGGGCTCAGCACTGTTGTGAATGGTGCCTACTTCATGCCTCTCATATTCTCCCTTCAAGTGAGGGTGTCTCTTGTGGCCACCCAATCCCTGTCTCATAATTTGGTGTTTAGTAACTTGCCTTTTTTTTTTTCTTCTTTTTCCTCTTATGGTTCTGGGGATTAAACCCAAGGCCTTCACCTTGAGGTACATCCCCAGCCATTAAAAATAAAATATTTTGAGACAAGGTCTCCAGCCTGGGCTCGATTTGTGATCTTCTGCCTCTGCCTTCCAGAGTGCTTGGTATTACAGGAGAATGCCACCAGACCCAGTTCCATTTCCTCTCTTCCTCAAGCCAATTCTTAACCAGCCTGGGTCCTGACCTGTTTTACACAAAATATCACACTATAGGAGTATACATTTCTTCATGTCCTCTTGATGTGTGTGTGGCATAATCAGTCTTGACATTCAACCAGTTCACTGAGAAAATCCTGAATTAACCAGGCAAACACAGTAGGCAGGAACACGAGGAGGGACAACAGGACCACATCAACATCTGCCATACTTACTTTGCTTTTTAGCCCACAATAGGTCTGTTTTGCTATTTTGGTGAAATAGTCTGTGTACCTGAAAATGGTATGTTCTCTATCACTAGTGGTATATACGATATCATGCACTATTCTAATATGGTACATATCACATTGGTTAATCAAGTTGTTTGAATCTAGATCATCTTGGATTTTTTTGTTTGTTTTGGTACTGGGGATCGAATTCAGGACTTAGCACTTTCGAGGCAGGCAGCGGCACCACTGAGCTAAATCCCCGGCCCCTAGATCATCTTGTTTTTTGAGTTATGTGAGCAGTGTGCAAAATTTTCCACTCTATGTAGGTTGTTTCTGGTTTGAGTTATATTTTTTGAATTTTTGATTTACTTATTTGAAGCTTTATTACAGATCTAGATTTAGAACTGCTATAGCTATTGAATTGATTTTATGAACTAAAGCTCTTATTTTAGTAATACTATTTGTCTTAACATTAGCTCTTTAAAATATAGGTATTGTGTTGGTGAGGTAGTCTTCCCTATCATTTTGCATGAAATTAGGTGGTTTTTTTTTAATGTCTAGCTAAATCTAAAAAATCTGTATTAAAATGGCATATTTTACTTTTACATTTAATATTACTATATATACACTTGGGTTTACTTTTACCATCTTGCTTTTTTTTTTTTTTTTTGCTTAAATTCTTTCATTGGTACATTTTAGGTACACAGTACGTTTACATTTCTGGTACTGGGGATATCGAACTCAGGTCATT